TAACAAATCCTCGTATTTCGGAAGTTGTGGTTGGCATAGGACGATCTTTGATTGCCGCAATTTTTTCCGGATCAGCAGTGATTCCGTTTTCCGAGATTGCGAAACCAAGGAATATTCCATGTGGAACAAATAGACGGCATTTTCTAGAGTTTAAGATGAGACTGTATTTAACGAAGCGAGCGAATATAAGAAGTAAACGGCTGTGTAGTTGTTCGATAGAATCGCCCCAAACAGCTACATCGTCGAGTAGTCCAGGAACAAATGAGCGAAATGGTTCTAGGACTTCTTCCATAAATTGTTGGAAGGTTGCTGGCGCGTTGCACAGCCCGAATGGCATTACTAACCACTCATAAACGCCAAATGGTGTCACAAAAGCAGTTTTCTCACGATCATCTGGGTGCATTTGAATATGCCAAAATCCATTTTCGAGGTCCAGAAAAGCGTAGTATTTATGTCCTGCTGCGCGTTGTATCTCATCATAGGCGTTAGGCAGTGGGTGTGCATGTTTTTTTGTGACCTTAGTAAGTTCCCTATAATTGACACAAATTCGCCAGACCGTTTTTTCTGTGTTGGTTGTTGTTTTCTTTGGTGTTAACAATAAGGGCGCAGCCCATGGTGACTTGCTTTTCATGATTATAGAGCCTTTGTGTGCTTTGCAGAAATCACGAATGGCTTCTTGCTGAGCAGGGCTGTACCTTCGGGGTGGGAGTCTGATTGGCTTATTATTCTCGGTATCAATGCGGTGTACCGTTTGTGTTGATTTATTTGTCTGTCTTTTCTGTCTGTCAAAGAGCGAAGGAAAGTTGGTTTTGTACATACGCCCATATTCAATACCGACCAATGTAGGGGTGGCGTGCCAAGTGATATCGAGAGTTTCTGTTGTTGAAAAGATTGTGTTGTTAATTAATTTTGAAATATTCAGTGGTTTAAGGATAGGTTTCTCTGGCATTTCCAAGAGTCTGATATTCTCATTTTTTAGGCATTGAATACCCAGGGCATGAAACATTGTCTTTCCTAGTGTTAAGTTGCCAGGAAATGTGCCGTCTGGCGCTACCCCAACTGAGACTGTAAAAGGAGTGGACCAGGAATTAGAGGAAATGTGAAACTGCGCAGTGATTAGGGCCTCTTTGGTTATTTCCGGTCCTTTACTGCCGATGCCTGCAAGAGATGAATTGAAGGAAGAGTTGTATTGGGTTAAACTCTTTGCTAAAGAAGAAGAAACATAACAAGAAGGAGAACCATAATCAAAGAATGTTTTAAAAGTAGACATAGGAATCTGGGCTAATCGTGTAAGGAATTTACTGTGTGGCTTGCCAAAACCTTCCCTAGGAATTTCCTTTTGAAAAGTTGGTATTTTGTCGCCGGTGCCCACCGCCACATAGTAGGCCTCTTGGCCCCATTATTTCTCAGGGTATTCTTTATCCATATCATTTATGAGGTTGTCGAGGTCTACGTTGTCATCATTTTGGCCTGGATCGAGGCAGCAGATCTGTGATGGATTTACTTGATGATCTTCATAAAGTTCATCAGAATTGACGAGATAGGTTCTGTTGTTAAGTCTCGACTGGTGTAGTTGGTGTTTAGGATTTCGTGGTACTAGAACTCGAGAATTTCCTTTTGATGGATTTGGATTCCGATGAGTATTGCTGATTCGGTGAGTGTTATCTATTCTCTCACTAGTGTGCCTGCCGAAATTTTGGTGGTGTTGACGTTTATTGGGGCAATTGTTGGCCCAATGACCTTTCTTTTGACAATGGAAACATACGTCACCGTGATTAATGTAAGCCGAATCTGGAGGATGTTCAATGGCAGGGTAAAGATTGAGATCGTTTTGGGAAGTAGCTACATCCATTGAAGACGAGTAGGTTTCCGAGGTTTTGACAAAGTGCTTGTCCTCACTGCTCCATTTGCAGACTCTTTCAGCTATCTGGACGACTTTTTCTACCCTCTGGTTGTTGCGAAGTCCATCTAAACTGGGTTCAGTTAATGTCCAGACCCTCGGTAGATATTTACTGCAGAGGTCTGTTATCATTGTCCGTGTTGTACGGCTCACTCTGTCGGTCTGTGACAATCCATAGAACGCGCTTCGTAAACGCCAGGCAAAGGAGTGGATTGAGTCCCCTTTGTTAGGGCTTATACCGGCGAAGACTGTGAGTGGGCTAAGGAGGCAGTCATGTAGCTCCATGTTTTTGAATATAGCGTGTAATAATTCGACCCATTTCAAGATGCGGCGCTCGTTTGCCCATACGCAAATACCTTTGAAATCACCACTCATCTCGTGGGTTAGGCGCTCCGTCCATATGCAATATGGTACCAAAGCGACGCGTAGAGCTGATTGGATCTCACTGAGCTTCTCGAAGACGTGGATATCAGCTTTGACAAGACGCCACTCGGCTTTAATTATCACCTTGTTCTTTACGTTGGTGAATGATTCGTCATCAATGTCTCTGTCCAGCAGAGCTTCCGGCCAAGCTTCCTTGACGAACTTTTCGACTTCGGTTAGTGGTTGTTCTATGAGAGTATCTTTCTGCTGTTCGATTTCTACAACGGAAGGTCTGGGTAACTGAGTTGCAGCGACATTTTTACTTGTACCCAGATCCACATCTTTCGGTTTGAAAGTTGAAGCGTGGGGAGAGGTCTCTGATTTGAATTCTCTAGGTTCGTATAAGGAAGTGGAGATTTTTAATAGCATCTCCTCGATTCTTGCCATCCGACTTTCTTGCTGTTCTGCACGAGCTTGATTGTGTTTCTCTGCTTCGGTAACCTGATGAAAAGCTGCGTCGGATTGGACTCTTATTGATGACTCCAAATGCTGGAATTTAGCTTCAACTTGCTCTGTGAGTTCTCGTACCTTCTTATTGACTCCGAGTATCGTGGTTGGTTCTTTCTGTTCAGAAGTAGACATTGTGGTTATGTTTCTTACTGAAGTCTTGAGGGTTTCTCTTCAAAAATATATTTTTGAGGTTTCTTGTGCATGTTAGTAAGAATAAAATGATAAATGTTGACTGTGAAATTCACGGATATCTCGTGGCTCCGACTACGACAATCTATATGTGTGTAGAGCTTGAGACTAGGCGTAAACTTGTGTTTCTATTAACGTTCTAACTCCTCCTTAAATACATGAATTCCTCTATACTCCAGATAATGTAACAATCAATGGTACATGACAAGTAAACTATCAGAATACAGTGGGAGAGGAGTGAGGTGCTTAGCCGCCCGAATTGTGACCAAAGAATGCGAGGGGTGCATTCTTGATGGAACCTCAAACTCAGCGGCTCGCCTAGGATCGGGACTTCGGCGTCTTGCCTAGACTCGGAGCTCAGCGGCTCGCTTGCCGTGAGACTTGGCGTTACGCTCGGACTTGGAATTCAGGATCCTCACATGTACCTCTGGGCGCTATCCTGTAATTGTCCGGCAATATCTAACCGCTTATGGCTAGCGGACGTGGTCAGTAGACTCTTCACGTCGCTACCCCAATTGTTGCCCTGCAATGACTCAACCTGGTGCTCCCAAGTCCGAGACTCGGGAGCGGCAGCAGTTGTATCCATGGTCAGCGCACGACGTGCATATGCATCTGTCGACGCAGAGCCGGTCATTGACAAGCGATATCATAATAGTCAGGCAAGAGAGCCAAGTCTTGTAGGATGCGCAAATAAGTGAAGCAAAAGGACTAAGCCCTTTATGCCTGTCAATAAATGGATTCCGCTTCAGCTTTTCTCAGCTACTTGCCCTGGCTACACACGAAATCCCTTCACCAGATTTAAACAATAGACCATGCCAGCTGTCACAGTCTAAGCAGAGGCACTTGAGCAACCTTATGGTCAGAGGTAGTTTATTTTCAATCTATGGTGAACTACAGATTGAAGAGGATAATAACTGTTACTTTATGCATGATTATTATCCAGGCCAATGACACAGTTTTCTATCCGTATATCCGTATCCCATCTCGTATCCCATCTCGTATCCCATCTCGTATCCCATCTCGTATCCCATCTCGTATCCCTTCTCGTATCCCTTCTCGTATCCCTTCTCGTATCCCTTCTCGTGCCCTATTCTTAGAGGTGTTTGCCAAATTATAAGACCCTGCTTCTAAGAATAGTCCCTGCCTAGTTTCATGCTAAGCCTACGTTTGACAGCGCAGGCTACAGGCTACAGGCAATTACCGGCTGACAAGCCGTCACACTAGCCAGGATTACTATCTGGCTAGGTGTTGAAGTTGAGGTAATTTACCAGATTTATGTCTTGGCAGAACGAGATTGAATCTTTCTTTGTACATGATAATAATCTTGCATGGTTTAGACATTCATTAACATCGAAGGCCATAGGGAGAAGGATCGCACCCTTGTTTCTTTGTTGCTTTATACCATTGGTCTGTAGGCTGCAGCTGCAGAGGCATTAAATTCTCAATCATGACCTTACCACTACATTGTGCCTCCCTTAAATTTGAAGTACAAGAGAGTTGTCGTCTCTACCATAAGAATCATAAAGTACCTCAATATAATCTTTAATCTTCACGACATAATTTTTGGCCTACATTAATATTTTACGCAATTTTATCGAAATAAATTCCACCTTATAATTGTTATCCAATAAGCTTTGGTCGTCTCACTAGAACCACCAATTCTCAAGTCCATTGTCACAGTCTAAGCATAGGCACTTGGGCAACCTTATGGTCAGAGGTAGTTTTAATTTCAATCTATGGTGAACTACAGATTGAAGAGGATAATAACAGTTACTTTATACATGACTATTATCCCAGCCAATGACACAGATTTCTATCCGTATATCCGTATTCCTTACTCGTATTCCCTACTCATATCCCCTACTCGTATCACATTCTCGTGCCCCATCCCCGGACGTGTTACAATATTAGTATTGCCACTTATAAGGCCCTCCTTGTTTCATGCTAAGCCTGCGTTAGACAGCGCAGGCTACAGGCAATGACCGGCTTACAAGCCGTCACATCCATATTTTAGCTCCTTTTAGTTGACACTGTCTCAATGAAGATTCTTCTTGCAGTTTCCTCCAGCGCTTTTACTTTCTTGTTGCTCCTAGTGTCTGTTGTGCAAGGAAATGTGCTAAAATGTGCCACTGGCAAAGAGTTCCACAACGGACTTATAGAAGAATATGCATCAAAAGCTCAATATAGTTTACAACGTAGCAGTCATCCTTTAGGGCCCGATGGGGAAAAATGCAAGGCCTATCAGTTTGATATCCCAAGGAAATCATGTCAGTCCTCTTTGCTCTCAGCTTATACTATTACTAACCATACCCATCTAGCCAGAGATACAGATTATTACCTAGTCCAAGTTTGTGGTGGTATGGAGGGCCACAGACTATATGAATGGTACAACTTTAAATGGGCTCAATGTGAATAAAATCACACCAATCCGTAGTTAACATGATGGTTTTCCAAATGAAATCAAGGGGTTGATTAGATTATCTATAAATACAAGGCAGACGTTCAGTACAACAGATGAAAAAGCGCCAGAATGAACGAAAAGCTGTGCTGCCTTTTACTCTGCCCCGGATAAAAATTTGACATTGTGTCTAATTTAAACTTTCATTTACTCGATTTCCAACACCAAAGCTTCTGTGATGTTAAAATTATTGTAAAAATTTGAGTTCATAACTGCACACACCATCAGGAGATAACCGTGCACCAGCTAACTTAACCCCTTAGAGTCTGATCACTATTGCCTCCTGATTGCTACACACTGAAATCAACGTGTTCCCTATAGTGAGGACACCATTGTAGTTACTCTAGCTATCATAGACAATAACATGTAGAGGAATAAGGGTAGGAACTCCTGTATATAGATAGGGCCTTTTTACTCTCAGTATCTACATCAATCATCCACAAATACAATTCATCATCAATCATCTTACTCTGTCCATATGATCTATTGAATTCTCCCATACCTATTAGTATTCAATTCACAAGGTGACGTCTCCCTATCCATCGCCCTCAGCCTGTCAATAAAAATATGATATAGCTTGGAAGGCCAAGACTAACGCATTTGTAGGTCTTGCTAATTAGGTTAGCTATTTCCCGATCCTATATTATTGTTATTAGTACATCCGCTCCTGAAAGTTTGATGCACAATGGTATTTATCTCATTCTAGCATTCCAGTAGATGACTGTCTCAAACGCAGGTAATTGTTGTGGTTATGAGCTGTGAGGTATATGGCAATTATGTCTCTGCTGTCCGTCGGTGGAGTTACACGGGCTCATGTGCAATGGTGAGTCGCGGAGATAGCGCAATCACGCTGGGTGATGGCACGATGAACACTGAGTGCGTATCACTGTGGCAAAATGGGTGTCAGTAGCTATCAAATGTGAACTCTTACTGATGATTGTGATCTATGAAGGTGATGCTAGATGTGCATCCCGACAATTGATAATATAATCTAATGGATGATGTGAAGTATGATATTATATGGATAGATTAATTCACTAAACTCGGCAGGTGAAGAGATTGTAGAGTACATGAACAGCGTCTGTGCACCAGCCTGTATTTTCCACCCTTTCCTAATCCAGCAGCCCATCCTCCGTTCCCCTGTCTCCTAACAACTCAACCGAGCCAGCACAACAGTAATAGAATGCTTAGACCTATCACCAATTGAATTAGTTCCGGAGATTTTAAGATTTCCATGCCAAGTATAAGAATGAGTTGGAGCTATTAGATCACTTGTAATGGACTTGATAGCATTTATGGTTTGCGGTAATAATTGTCTGATTGTCTATTCTGTTCCCTGTTTTCTACATGTATCTTCTATAGTAAAATATCTACATGCCAAGACACTAACACCGCACATTCCAGATCTATTCCCTGCAGTACCATCAACGCCTTAGAGAAATACTTAGTAAAATAAACCGTAACACACCCCCCAGCCAATATCTTTGATAATTGCCTTTTGAGATTCAAGCAATAGTAATGGCCGATAGATCATTGGTTTGGAAATGAAACATTGACATCATTCATGCAAATGGTTCTCATTTTTTTGATGCAACTGCTGATATCAACCAACCCAAGCTGGCTTAAAAATTCTTTAAATTTCTGTTTGGCGAGAATTTTTGTGAGACCATTAGCAGGCATTTCTTTTGTTGGAACCCATATGATATTCAGTCGAAATGCTTCAACTTCTTGACGGATCCAAAGTTGGTGTATATTGACATAATTGACTTTAGTTTGAAGTTTATCTTCAGATTTGATGGCAATTTCGACAGTTTGTTTGTTGTCACACCAAATTTTTGGCTTACAATTTAGTTTTAGAGAAATTCTATCGAAAAATCTTATCCATTCCCGCATCTGTGAGCCAGCTAGTGACAAAGAGAGTAGCTCAGACTCGGTTGTTGATTTTGTCACTGTTCTTTGTATTGTCAATTTCCAGTCTATTGCCATACCACCGAACTTAAAGAGGTTACCTTGAGAACTTTTGCGTGTCTCTGGCTCATCAGCATAGGACGCATCTGAGGAACCGAAGAACAATGGATACCTGTACATGGGATCATCAGTAATACTTTCAATCAATTGGGTTTCTTCAGCAGATGCCTCAAGTGCGAGTCCTTTTGTGCCCAGTAGATAAGGCCAAGTCTGTTTGATCTTCAAGATGTGTGATTGCCCTGGATTTGTGAGGTGACACGCGAATTGAACATGAGTGCAAGCTACATTAGGTCTACTCCATACTGCAATGTACGCCAGAGAGCCGACGAGCTGCTGGTAGAGCTTTATGCGACCTTTATCTGGCTCTTCGGTTGATTGAGGAAGGCAGTTTTCAGTTATTGGTACCTCTGGATACTTGCCAATATTGTCAATACCAAATCGAGCACAGACTTTTTCAATGTATGCATCTTGTATGAGCTAGATTTTCCGATTAGGGCGGTTGTGTATAACCCGAATACCAAAAAGCTAAGCCAAGTCACCCATGATCTTCAAATCGTACTTCTGAATCAGTTTCTGCTCAAAATTTCTATGAATGTCTTAATTTGTGCTATGACACGCCATGACTATATCATCAACGTAAACAAATAGAAGGAGCCATTCATTTTTGTAGAGACATGGGAAACCAGAGACAGCTTTGAGATTTAGCTTGATCAAGGTACTCTTTAGCTCTTTGTACCATAGTAGCAGTGATTCCCTAAGTCAATATAATGCAAGGAGAACCTCTAGAATCTCTCCCCGTGCATGAGAGATACCGTCGGGTGTCTCGGCATAAAGCTTGCGGTTAAGTTTAGCATTGAGGAATGCAGTAGGCACATCAAACTGCTTTAGTTCTAAATCAAAATTGTTTGCTACAGCAATAATTGCACGCCAATTTCGAGTTGCAAGCGTGGCAGCGTAAGTATTTTCCAAGGGCTCTTGCAAGTCTCCTCGAACAACAAGTCGCGCTTTAAATGATGCAAGAAAGCCATCTTCACCGATTTTATAGGAGAAAACCCACATCAACGGTAATATCTCAGCGTCTGCGGTAGCCTTTGGCTTATCAGTTTCTTTAAAACAACCTTCCGCAGAGTGAATCCCATTCTTTATTTAGTGCTTCTGTCAAACAGATTACCCTAAGCTTAAATGTTGTCTCATGATGTTTAAGTTGAGTAGTTTACAAGCAAGTAAACTGGGCTGATGCATCAAGGGCTGTCACAGTTCGAGGTATAGATGCTGGGGCGATCAAATATACGAAGGTTGTTTATTATTTTCTATACCACAATATGTGTGTCCTAACTCAACTATTTATACACTTATTAGGCTATCTAGAATATTCCTTCCTGTCTGATACTAGCCTCTGTTATGTTTCCCTGATACCAATTCACAGTCTCGATGCCAGTTGCTAGAATCCTCAAGTCATGTTTAGAATAAACTAGAGTGAAGTTTCGCCTTTCACAAAATTGTTGAGGCACGTGATTAACGTCACGTGATACAGGACAATTATCGGCTCCCTAGCCGTTACAAGGGCAATAACTTAGTCATGCAAATGTTACAACTAGCAACTAGGCGCATGGCCAATTTCATACTTTCACGGATCCCTAAATAAAATTTTAATACTAATATTAATTCGTGATAAGATGAAGGGGTAGTTAATTAAAACCATCAATTTAATAATAGCTTCCTCTATACAATTAGTCATGTAAAATGTCATGTAAGGATATACAAGGGAGTCATGAAGAGAAGGACAAGAACACAGCCATCAATGCGAAGATATTGGCAAGAATTGATTACGATTAATCCCGGCTGGCAAATGCTTCTACTATTGTATAAAATAGTTCAGCGTGAGAGAGATTTACTCCTCACGCAACGTCTTCTTCATCTACCATTTACAATACATTTGTTTACCCATCTCTTCTTCGGGAAGACCATTTATCCATTGTCCAGTTCTTCATCAGCAAGACCCACGTGTAACACCTACTGCAACTAGTTGCCCATTCATCTCTTCCTAGAGAAGACCTGTCATCCCTTTGACCCATTTATAATCTTCATTTACCACCTAGATCTTCACCAGGCTGTACAACGCACCCCGTGGAACACTGTCAAACCCTCATCCCTGAGACATACGCACAACTCCCTTGTTGTTTGACTTCTTCTATTGCCCAAGATAATGTAACAGCCAAACTTAGACCCATGAATGGAACAGAGATTTGAGCAGTTCGTATTGGCAATCTAATACTCAGTCTATTTTTGGAATTAGTAGGATACTCAAGATGTATATAGTACCGAGATAGATTCCTCATGGGAGAGACAATCAATTCAATAAACTCTGAGAGAGATTCATATAAGTATAACTTTGCTAAACAGCTTCCCAGAACTGCTTTCCAAACCTGTGAGCATCTAGAGCTTTAACGAGCTTCGGCGGAGGCGGAATTCGATTCTGGTGAATTTGGGGAATATTATTACAATTATTTTGTTTGGAAGTTTCAGTCACAAATGCTTGCAAATAATCAGATATCTGTTTAGTTCCCAGAGTAGCCACGTGAGACTGAATGGCGAAGACATTTTGATTTGATGGTGGCTTCCTACTGCGCTTTCTTATTATAATGAGGCTTGTATCAAACGGATGATGTCATGGCGAGACATTCTGGAACCAGAGTCTAAGCAGAATGCCTGAGGATAAAATTCACTGAACAGGTTTTTCGACTCACCCTCAACACTTGCACTTATATGGTGAGACTAGATAATGCGCCAACTGGAATTGATATGGTTGAGGTCACAGTTTGAGTCATGATGGGAAATTACAACAGTCTTAGTTGAATTACGTTAGATAGTTATTTGTACTTAAGGAAGCTGGAGCTACAACAAAGTAGTTCTCCAGCTTCACAATCTTATAATATTATTACAGTATTCCTTTCGCAAACCCGCTTCCTTCTAGCCATAGTACTTCGTCG